CTGCAGGTTTTGTCTCTCTCCAACCAAAATTCGCCGAGCCAGCAGCAAACTGCGCTTCACATTTGATCAATGTCGTCATGAATTCCCTCTGACTTTTGCTGTTTTGCTTCCACCACCATAAAAATCACACTTCCTGCACAGCTCTCAGTGTGTACTTCAGGAACAGTTTCCCGTCTCAAATCTGTTTTCTGCATTATTCATTCGCTTATTACCCACCAGTCTACCGTTGTTTACAGCGCTGTCTTTTTCTTTTTTTCACTTAAATGACCTCGGACAAGAAAGCCTAATTTCTGCTGCTCAATACTGAAGAAATTTAAACTTCTTAAAATTATGCAAAATTACAGAATATTGCAGAATATTTTTAAGGTTATCTGCTATAAAAAGCCAGACCAGGAAAATCTCCTTCATGTTTTTCTGTGTTTTATTCTCAGTTACTTTCACACAAAGGCATGTGTGGATGTAGCTGTGGGTAATAAGAAAAGATGAAAAGAACTATTGATAACTTTTTAGTTAAGTTAAGGCCTGATCTGTCTGAAATTCATAGCCAGTGCTCTGACACGGTGCCATCAATCTTTGAAAGCTGAAAAAGCACAGTGTATCCAGGAAACACATTATATGCTGCAATAAATGCACTGCCCAAGTGTCCCCTCTCCCCACGGCCTTTCAGCAGCATGCAGCAGGTCATCAGAGGAGGCCAAGATGATGATTAAGTTTAACATTTTCTACAATATTGACAAAGCACTTTAAGCACAAGTTTGTTAGTTAATCATTTAGAGATGAATATTGTCTGTATGGACTCCCCCCCCCCCAAAAAAAAAAGTGCACATGTAAAACTGCGGTGTTAAGCGATGCGGTTAATACATTTGAGTACGCCTAACTTTTGTGCCGGTACGCCTAAATTTTTAAAGTTAGGCGTACCGGTGCGCCCATGTCAAAAGGTTAGTCTAGAGCCCTGACCAGGATCCCTGTTTAACTGCTGGAGGCTCAGAGTGTAAATGGTAATGATGGAAAATCTTCCATCACTGTAACCTTCACCAGGTGCCGAGTGGAGATATTCGTGTAAATTTTAAAGAGATGTTTCTCAGCACAGTTAGCGTTCATTAGCTTCTTCTTAGCATAACTCTCTTTTCTGGATTAATGTGCATGTTGTAACTGTCACACTGAAGAAAGAGAAGCTCTCTTATTTTCATGCACAGAAGAAAAACTGGTGCTTTGGAGATGTTTTAGAGGGGGTGGACCCACCAGAGATATCCTGAAAGTATCACATAGTTAACTGCAGAAGTCTTAACATTTGGAAATCAAGCTGAAGACAGCTGAGATGACTAATGCTTCTTCTGTTTTATGTTTCATAGTCCTGCTGAAACATGTTGTAGTTATTCTGACGGAGCTATGACTGTTTTTTGCATCTAGTTAAATATATAATAAATAACATCAAACTTCCTGACACTGTAAAATGCATTGAATAGATGGATGGTTTGATTTGATCCCACAGTCACCTGACCTGTATCCACAGCACTGACCTCTGACCTTCAGCGTCACTTGTTTCTCCATCAGAATCCTCTTCCACCTGCTGTAGACGGTGCAGGTGTAGGTGTGGTTGTCTCCATCTGTGGGGTATTTCAGGGTCAGACTGAGGTCTCCAGTTTTCAGCAGGTTACTTTTCATCTTCGTTCGGTCTCTGTAAACCTGGTGCTGTTTTTGAGGCTGGTCAGAGCCGTTCTCATACACGTGAACCTTCCAGTGGTAGTAATCATGCTTCCACTCCACTTTCGCATCTTTGGGCAGGTGAACTGCGGCTTTGAAAAGCAGCAGGACTGACTCCACCCCTGAGTCCACCTCCACCTGGGGGACTGAGAGAGCGAGAGAGAGAGATAGGAAGACTCTTTGAGATTTATGGTGGGAAATTGTTTTGAAAAACCTTTTTATTATAATGAACATGATGTTCCACTTAATCATATTTAATTGTTATAATGTATTTTTTTTTTTGCTATTCTGAGAGAACAGTGGATTTCATTTATTTTCATTTATTAAAGAAAAAAGCTATCCAAAGCTAGCTGGTCCTGTGTGAAATATTCTGAATTAACTGTGATGAACCACACTTCACTGCCACATCCCCTGACAGACCGGCTGAATCAAGAAATCGCTTAAATAGACAGAGTGAATCTCAAACAGCAGCACATCACGCCACGATCTAAAGAACCAGCTGAAGAACAAAGGAAGTGACATCTGTCAGTGTGGAAAGGCTTACAGAGACATTTCTATGGCTTTGGGACTCCAGTGAGTCACAGTGAGGACCTTTATCCACACATGGAGAAACCTCAGAAACAGATTAGTTCAAGAGAAGATCGATGACTCATCCAGGAGGTCACAGAAGAACACAGGTTTGAGTCCCGTTACATCTGCATCAAACTAACAGCATTTCATAAAGAGAACATCACAGCAACAGTCAGACATGGTGGTGGTGTGATGGTGGGGACTGCTTTCATTCAGGATGACTTGCTGTAACTGAACCATGACCTCTGCCCTCTAACAAAACATCCTGAAGGAGAACATCCGGACATCAGTTAATGCCCTGAAGCTTAAGAGCATCAGGCAGCAGGACAATGATCTGAAACATTCCAGTAAGTTGACCTGTGAATGGCTAAAAAACAAAACATAACGATAGTGTGGAGATCACATAATTTTAAATGTATTGATATTGCATTCAGATGTTTAAACATACTGGTATCATGTTAACCTTTATTACAGGTCCAGTTATAACCACTTTAAACTGTTGAGTGCTTTTTATAATCTTAAATGTTTATATGCAGATTACATTGCATTATAAAAGAAAGGCCTAACTCTGAGTAGACTCTGTGCCAAAATAGACAGGAAACTGCATGCTTTGCAGAAAGGGAAACTAAAGCAGAGTCTAAGTGCAAGTTATTTTGAGGAGCTGTTTGGATGATGCTATTTGAATAACCAGGTTATTCATTATTATCTTTTATTCATTTATATCTTTTGATTAAGCTTTTAGTAGTGGTTCCTGATTAAAACATTTGTTCAACCTATTACATATATATAGTTTTAGTTAGGTTATTATGCACATGAGAATTGGCCTCTCTTCTCACAAGACAGAGTTCGTGTAAGGTCGAGACACACACACACATACACAGTGTTGGGGAGTAACGGAATACATGTACCGCCGTTACGTATTTAAAATACAAAATATGAGTAACTGTATTCCGTTACAGTTACCGTTTAAAAAGGTGGTATTCAGAATACAGTTACTTTGTTGAAATAAATGGATTACACTGCGGTACTTTCCTGTTTCATATTGTCGCGGGTCAGGACTGTTTGGGTTTTGTTTGACAGCTACGTTCTGTTGTTGCAGGCGGCAGCGTTACGGTTGCCATGGTTACAGGGCGACGCTCTCTCTTTGCGTGTTTCCTGGGTGAGAGAGCGCCTTTTCATTGTTGTTGTTGTTGTTGTGCTAAGCTAACAGGCAGAATGCTACAAGCATAGCTCTAAAGAATGTAGCATCATGGGCAGTGTAGTCCGTGTTGCAGGGAGAATGGACTGCCATACTTGTTATGGGTCTGTGAGCGCGAGGAGGGAGAAAAAGGGGAGTGGAAAGGTACAAGCTGTCATCGAGGAAAAATGGGAGCTGGAAGCATGTAACTATAATAATAACCACTGCAGCCAAGAAGAGTGCCTGACGAGCCCAGCTGTAAGTAAGCTATTAGGACTCGACTGTACACCGTGTTCGTGTTTTCCTCCGAAACAATAAGTTCCGTTGGAGCAGTCTTTCAACACCTCTCTGTCTGTCGCAAGAAAAATTGACCCACACAACAAAGTAAAGCTAGTTTTCGGCTACGAGCCAACAGGGACCCCACCGTATTAGTCAGAGGTCCCTTTACTACAGTTCGGAGCCGCGGACCTTCAGTAATAGTAATAAATCACACAGCAATAGTACATTCACGTTGTTGTAAAAAGCATGATAATATATTAAGTAATCCAAAGTATTCAGAATACGTTACTCTCATTGAGTAACGTAACGGAATACGTTACAGAATACATTTTGGGGCATGTATTCTGTAATCTGTAGTGGAATACATTTTAAAAGTAACCTTCCCAACACTGCACATACACTGTAAGTAAACTCATTTAGAGGTGAAAGTTTAATCATCAGCTTGCAACTGCAAAATTGTGTCTGCACAAGTGACAGTGTGCCTTAAGACTTGCTGCTGATGTTCTGAGATAAGCGGGCGTCCGGTGGCGACAGGAAGCACCTGCCGCGAAGACAATGTTCTTTTCAAACTGTGTTAAAAGTTGTCAACAGAACATTTGTGGTTTTAACTCATGCATGTATTGTATCGGATGACGTATGAGGGGGCGTCGGTAAACATACCCTGATGTTGTAAAACAATTCCTGTGTAGTTTTGGGCGGAGATCTACAGCTGATGTTGTGCAGTGCTACATCTCCCCATGCTGTGTGTGTTCATTAAAATCAATTGTTTGACCAAGCTCTTCTGGACCATGGTTGTGTTTACTCCCCTCCTCAATATTAAACCTTAACAACAGTTTTGGAGTATGTGATAAAAGACCTAACACACACAGAATCTATTTTTTTTAACCATCACAGTTTAACATGATTCTGAAGAAATCATAAATGGTCGTCATTTCCTTTTCCTGGGTTTTACTTTCTTCACATCTGTCTGCTTGGTTGGATTCATCACCTGTGCATACAGCTCACCATTACTTCAGTAATACTCTGATTACATCAGTAAATACTCTAATTTCTTACTTCATCTCTGGACTCATGCATTTGAAGCTCATTCTGTATCTTACATGAGTTATAAGAGAGCACGAAGACATTTTGTGTGTTTTCTTGTTTCCGACTGTTGAACCAAACCGGGTTGTAAAGCCTGTTGGGTTTCTGTTCTGATAGTTTTACAAGAGTCAAAGAGTCAAAAGTAAATCAAGTGTGTAGCTGATACATGTTCCCTCTCAGTTCTACATCACTGACCTCTGACATAGAGCTGCACTCTGTTCTTCATCAGGATTTTCTCCCTCCTGCTGTAGACGGTGCAGGTGTAGGTGTCTGCGTCCCAGCCTGTGGGCTGTTTCAGGGTCAGACTGAGGTCTCCAGTTTTCAGCAGGTCTTCATTCATCTTCGTTCGGTCTCTGTAAACCTGGTGCTGTTCTTCAGGCTGATCACAGTTATCCTCATACACGTGGACCTTCCTGTTTTTTCTGTTCGTCCACTCCACTCTGACGTCTTCAGGCAGGTGAAGTGTGGCTTTACAGGGCAGCTGGACAGACTCCACCCCTGAATTCACCTCCACCTTTGGGACTGAGAGGACAACAAAGCAGCACTGAGCTCATTTTCTCTGACTGAAATTTAACATCAAAGTAGCCTCATGTTACCCAAAGTTAAGAAGTCAGTGGAAACAAAGATTGAAATAAAATAGAAATAAACATTTGAGGATAAATGATAGGATATACTTTATTGTCCCCGCAGGGAAATTTGTTGTGGACTCAAGTACTGACACAGAAGCTGCCTACACAGAGTAAATACACAACAGAAAAACAAGAAATGATTTTAAAAAATGACTTTAATAATACAATTCTTGAATCACTATAAATGACAGAGTGATAATGAAGAAAGTGTTATTTAATATCTGTTAATAGAAAACAGAAAAGCCTGTGTCTGTTACACTCTTTCAGCTGTTTTTGTTCACATATGATTCATCAGGTAATAATTATCAGTCAAGTTTATCTGATATATGAAAAAGTCATTTAAAGGTTGTTTCCTGTGTGTTGTGAAAGCTGATTGAGACTCTTGTCTGTGTGGGTATCATATGGTAAGTGTGACTTCTGAGCTTACAAGCAAAAGGCCTAAAATGTAAAAACATTAAATTACTTTATTATTTTCAGTTTTTAACCCGTCTAAGCTCTTCGTTTCCTTTGTTTACTTGTGCGTCGTCGAGGGAAAACAAAGAGGGGGAAACGCGAGTTTTGTGCCGAACGCGACAGAGAAACAGCAAGCCACCTCTCCCCAGCATCCTACTTGCGAATCTCCAGTCTCTGGACAACAAACTTGACGAGCTGCGTGCACGGATTAAACACCAACAAGACATCAGGAACTGCTGCGTTCTGGCCTTTACAGAGACATGGCTGGAGCCCAGCGTCCCCGACTGCGCCATCACGCCGGATGGATTCACTGTTTACCGGGGAGACCGAACGAAGGACTCAGGCAAGAAAAGGGGAGGAGGGGTGTGCCTTATGGTTAACTCCTTGTGGGCTAAAGATGTGTGTATCTTAAAAACTTACTGCTCTCAGAGCCTCGAGCTACTGACCATCAAAGTCAGGCCTTTTTCCCTCCCGAGGGAGTTCAGCTCAGTTCTCCTCTCAGCTGTTTACATTCCCCCACATGCTGATAAAGCTAAAGCTATGGACAAACTGTATAACATCATTACTGGACTTGAGAACAAAAATCCAGAAGCTGCTTTTATTGTGCTGGGAGACTTCAACAGAGCCAACATGAAGAAGGTTCTCCCCAAATACTATCAGCACATCTCCTTCCCCACAAGAGGTGATCAAACACTGGACCACTGTTACACTCCATTCAAAGAGTGCCACAAACCCCTCCCCCGCCCAGCTTTTGGTAAAGCAGACCATTGTTCCATACTGCTGCTGCCTGCATACAGACAAAGACTGAAACAGAAAAAACCAGCTTCCAGGGTCATCTACAAACGGGACAGTGAGGCTGAGGAGGTCCTGCAGGACTGCTTTGACACAACTGACTGGCAGATATTTGTGGATGCAGCTGATGGCAACATCAATGAACTCACAGACTCTGTCATTGGATATATTGGAAAGTGCATGGATGATACCATCACAAAAACCACTGTCCGCATATATCCAAATCAGAAACCCTGGGTAAATAAAGACGTTTGTGCGGACCTCTGCCTTTAACTCCGGGGATGCTGATGCATATAAAGCAGCCAGGTACGACCTCCGAAAGTCCATAAAAAGGCCAGAAAGGACTACAGGGACAAAATGGAGTCCAGCTACCACAGCTTTGACACCAGGCGACTGTGGAATGGACTACGCTGTCAGCTGTGCATCACATGTACATTTTTTAATGAAATTGACCGTTCTGGAGCGCAGAATGGACAAACTTTGGACGAACTGCCCAAAATGTATTGACAGAGACATTTCAGGGATGTTTTCTGCTCTCCAGATGGATTAATTACATTAAAAATGTTAATGTCATGATGACAGATTAATCTGCGTTAATGCTGACAGCCCTAACCTAAACACTAAAAGAAAGATCGTGTGTGTCCTCATTAGTATAGGTGTTTATGTTGGTGTGTGGGGCTGTAACCCCATGTAACAAGTAGTATAACAAATTACTTTCTTCCCCAGAGTAATTTAGTAATGTACTTCACTACTTTTAAGAAAAGTATTAAGTAATGTGTGATACATGACTTTTCTTGAGTAAAAGCCTGACACTGCTGATGAGTAGACTGAGGACTAAAGCAAGCCTGAAATAGTCTGTCAATAAGCTCTTGTCAATAAAGTTGGGATTGAAAGAGACCAAAGTCCCCCTGGATACCTGTTACTGCAGCTGAGAGAGGGTAAAAGGACTGGACGTTTGTGTTTAGCGAGACACGGAGTGCTAAAACAGAGTTTATCTTTGAATTTCTTTGACAAAAGTAAATCATCTTTAACTCTGAAGACATCATCTGAAGAGTCACTCTGGGGAGTCCAAAGTTACAAATTACAGCAACCACTGCCCAACACTGTGGACCCACTAAACACATTTATGATTTTTGACTTTGACTCTGCTCATTTTTGCCATGTTGGATTTGGAATATGGAGGTAAGTTCATATTCAGGCCTGGATGTGCTCACCATCCTCTGTCTCTTTAAAATGAACTCAGACAGTAAGAGGACGTTGATTGGTTTTTCATCTGAATCATCAAGATTAAAATCTCAATGCTAAATAGATGTTGAATTAACCTTATGATACTAATGAAACCTGACGACTGGAATGGAACAGTCAAACGACTGTTTGATAGTATAAATGACTATTGATCTATTTATAGTTATACTGAAATATGTAGCTGGCAGTAGTACTCGGTGTCACAATCATGGGTCTTTTGACCCAGCGTTTTGAGTTTTAGTTTATGTTCATGTTTATGGTTTATGTTTAAGCCCTTTAATTTTTCTAAGTTCATTTTTTATCATGCCTAGGTTGTTATAGTTCTTTGTTATTAGATTACCCATGTGTCTTCCAACCCCTGTTAAGTCTCCCTTGCCCTTCATGTGTTTCATGTCTGTCTTATGTTGTCAAGTTCAGGTTGTCATGTTTGCGTCTTATGTTTCCTGTTTTATTTTGAAGAGGTCTTGTGTTTCTATGTTCACTGTATTTAGTTTTACTCTTTCCCTGCGAGTTCATTATGTTCATGTGGGTTGTGCTGTTTTGATCTTTATAGTTATAATTTCCCTAGGTTTCATTTATGGTTATCATAGGTTTAGTTCTTGAAATATGGCTTCCCTGTGTTCCATGTTGTGTCTACTGTGCCTTTCTGTACCATGTTTCAGGTTCCTATGTTCTGTCTCCCCAGTTGCTGTTAAGTTTACATGTCAGTGTGTTTCCTGTTTTACTTTGAAGGTCTGTGTCTCATGTCAGTGTGTCTAGTTTTGCTTCCCCTGTCTCGTTAAGTCTGATTTCTCCCAGCTGTGCTCTCCGTCTGTGTCTCATTCCCTCGTTACCCCTCAGTGTATTTAAGCCCTGTGTTTCTCTTTGTCTGTTTCATAATCTCCCTCATGGCTGTGTTTCCCTGTGTGTCAGTTTATCCATGTCCCAGTTTAGTTGTGTTATATTTTTCGTTCCATTCTGCAATAAAGCAGCTTTTTGAGTTTAATTCCTGCGTTGTGAGTTTTGCGTAGGGGTGGGCGATAGAAACGATATAAATTTGGCCAACGATAGAGATTTTGAGTATACCGCTCTATCGCGATAGCGCATGTTGATGATATCATCAAGCTGCGCCTGTTTTGGTTGAAAGCATCGCAGTGGCTAAAACCATTATCATCTGTAAATTATGGTGGGCGACAGTCATAGCAAAGAGATGAAGCACTTTTGAAATATGGGGAAAGCCAAAAACTGCGCTTCCTCCACTTCCGTAACATTGATTCATTAGTGTTGAATTCTCTCGCAGCTGTTCTATTCCCATGTTGTTGCGGTATATTAATAACTAACCTCGTATTGTGGATGAATAATCTCAGTTGTTCTCCTGACTGAAGTTTGGCCCGTGTATAGCATCCTGCTATGCGATTGCATTTGTCCCTGACCACCAGAATCCCTCACGTTAACTTTTATCGAGTGGAAGAAAAGTTGGCGTACATCCTCCAGCTTCACTGTGCTAATGTCATGCTAACATAGCTGTGTCGGTAGCAATCACGTAGCACAACATTATACACCAGGTAGTCCAACTTCAGTAAACCTGCAAACGCCACTGCTGTTTAGTTTTCTGTCTTCATTTATGTTGGAAGTGGTAGCAGAGCTGTACGTTTTAATTAGTTTCAAAAATCTCTCAGTCAGAACATGGTATGTCATGTTTAGGTGGAAACTAGCGAGCTAACTTCCTGTTAACTTCTAACTCCGTTAAATGTAATAAATTCTGTTTTCATGGATGCCTGGATGTTAAACTTAATTGTTGCACCTGGTAAAGCAGCAACGCTGATGATTTTATTAAAGATGAAAGAATTTAGACCGTTTTTAACTCAGTGTTCGTTTGACTTTGGGACCTGAAGCGGATAGAGTTTTGGACTCAGATGGCAGCCGTAATGCTCCGACAATCCATCAAGCAGTGCGGCTTACCAAAGTTGTACTAAAACATTTTTAACAGATTTCTGCGCGCCCAAATTGGTTCGAGGTCAGTAAGCACAACCAGAATTCATACATAAGGTACACTCTCGATTTTTGAGAAAATTAAAGAATTTTAAGTGTGCCTTATAGTGTGGAAAACACGTTATAAAGAAGAAAATATATCGTGATATATATCGTTAGCGCACGTGCTTCAAATTATATCGCGATATGGATTTTAGGCCATATCTCTCAGCCCTAGTTTTGCGTTTGGGTTCTTCTCCTGCCTGCACACAGCCGAAACATGACACTCGGCCCTGCACTCTGATCTATATTAGGTAAGAATATGTTGATTTACTCGGTATTTGAAGGTTCAATTGAAAAAACCTTAATAGATTTTTTAAACAATGTGGGAGTCAAACAGTTGTGTCTGTCTGGTTGTTTTAAGAGATCACTAAAATATCATAGACTGAAACT